GCAATTTAAATTCTATACCTCTAAAAAACACACACGTTATATATTTCTCGAAAGGCCTAGAATTGGAACAGCGTACCCATGAAAACAAACATTTCTTCTATTTCAATTTAAATAAAGTGACCTTATCTTGCGCTAATATTGAAGAATGTGTCAATTTTTGTTTACGTCAGCCACAATTTGCACGTGCTAGGCTACAATATGAGTACAACACCAAATAAAATTCTTCTCTAAACAAAACATACATACGCATAACCGCAAACATATGAAAGACAAATAATGGAATTGAATTGAAATGGAAGTCCGTACAAAGCGCCGTAACGCTTGCAATTAGAATGAAAAGCTGAGCTTCTTTCATGCAATTAGCGATATAAATGCTACGCAATGAAATGAAGCGGATTGAATAATAAAGTGGGATAAAATCATTTCATCCAACGTGGCGCAGCACAATGCATTGCCAGTGGCAACGCGCGGCAGACAAACGGCTGCAGCTATATGAGTGTGCGTGTGTGTGTATGTGTATGTTGGAAGTTGAAAGGAGACATTATAGCATGCTAGTAGCAATATACTATACGCTTATTGTTGTAGAGACTTTTGTATGAGCGCGCACATGCAAAATATTACGTATACGCCACGGTGTACAGAGTGGAGTTGGAAAATCTGAGAACAAACGAAAACGAAATGAACCAACTAAACTAACAAAATCCCGCCAATGTGAGCGCTACAGGCGTTCGAATTGTTATTTCTATTACAAAAGTGTTAGTGCGAATCTACGTTTTATGTACATATTTATGTGTGCATGTGTGTGGGTAAAATGTGGCTGGCATGCGTGTTATTGGCTGTGTGCACAATGGTAAGTAGCAGCAGCGAGCATTACAATGAACGTGCCAAAAATTGTTAATTTGCTGAATTTAGCTTTGCCAAATGCACGCACACATATAGAAATACAAACACACACACAGACATGCAGTGGCATTTTGGCATGCTGCAACACAGGCTTTACTTACTTATCTACTGGCTTTGCGAGCTGCTTTGCTTGCAACTGCTTTTACTCATGTATATTTATGTGTGTGTTGGTGTGTATGGCAAAGTGCGGTGGCGTGAGTTAGTGAGTGCGTGCCGAAATGACAATTTCACAGATCCATAAATAGTTGCGCAATGAATGGCAGTGGCAAAGCAGCGAAATGCAACGACAACAGCGATGCAACAATGCCACCATTAACATATGACCATGCAACACGCACGCAGCCATACATACACACACACATCCGAACGAGCATTTTCAGCTTGCTTGTGTGTGTTATTACTTGTGCGAATATGTTGCGACTCGATTTGCCGGTATGCCTGACGCAAATCGGATGAATATTTAAGTGAAATCAAAATGAATGAATGTGCAACTCAAGGAATCTCACATAACACAGCGCCGACTGCAGCACACCCCAGCCGCTCGCAGTACTCGCTCTTAATCACAAGCAGCTCGAGGCCTCGAGTGCCGTTGTGGGGCATGACATTGCGCTCGTTCGCTTTGCCATTGACATCGCTTGCAACCAGCGCGCACTAGAGCTGGTGAGCGGTGAGCAGAAAGCATCAGACTCTTCTGCGCTGCGTTCTATCACTTTCCAAATACATGTGTGTGTGTGTGTGGGTGTGCGTTTGCTGGCTTTGTTATCTGTGCGTGCATTTGCAAGATAAATGCAATAATATTACCAGCGTTGACGGGCACGTTTGCTTGGTCTTTGTCTATGCGCTCGCAAACACAAACACACACGTACTCACACACACTGCACAAATTTATTATTGCAATTTTATAGTAGTATTACAATAGATGAGTAAATGCGTGCCAGGCAAAGCAACGCAACGCATTACTTGCACACTCATACAAATGTCTGCATGTATGTATGCATATACATATGTGTGTGTTGGCATAGTTTTGTCAGCTGCTTTGCATTCTAATATTTTAATGCATTTAAATTGGAATATTTTAAACTGATTTGCTTGCCGAACGCCACGAGCGATGAATGCGTAAAAGGCGCTCTGCACAAAGGCAAAGACATTTCATTTTTGGCGTTAACATACTTGCTTACATACTCATATATGGTATTTAGAATATATTCACATGTATTCGTAGCTATCTTTGGCACTTAAACGTTTGTGCTTTTGGCGAGATTTAAGCAGATTTATTTGTCAAATGAACATATAAGCTATACACAGAGAGTAGCGAGAAATTTTAGCTAACAGAAAATTTTTTTTTTCGAATTCTAAAACAAAATAAGGGCCAAATACATGTTAACGTTGCAAATCTTGACAATTTAAGTGCTCTTATTTTTATATGGATAGGAGCAATTTTCACAGTACAAAATTTCCTTAAAATGGTTTAATTTCCATCTGATCAAATTTGATCCGAATCGATAAATATTTTTCTAGATTTATACAACCTGTTTTTGTGTTCGCGTGAAGTTTGATCTTTATATGTCAATTAGTGTGTGCTAGGCAGTTGTTTTTGTATGACGCAAAAAGTTTGTCTGGCGATTTTTACCTTTGAAAAAAATTGAACAACAGGTTTGTTTGACATTTTGCCCTTCCAACGGAATCGCGGCTAACGAATCTTTGAAAATGTTGCAGAAGTGTTTTGGAGAATCTACCTTATCATGTACACAAATATTTGAGTGCCATAAAGCATTTATCGAATGTCGTGAAGTCATCGAAAACTTTCCTCATGCGAGTCATCAATTCACCTCTTTTAATGACGAAAACATCGAAAAAGTTAAAGAAACGGTAATTGAAAATCATCTTGTTGGCAACAGAGAGACTTAAGACATTTTGGCTAATTTTTGGGCATGAAGACTTGAATATTTTGCCATAACGCCGTCAAGTAGAGGTCGCAGAAGATATGCTTGGCGACGTGACTGAGGACCGTAGATTCATCAAACGTATCAATACTGATGACGAGAGGTGGATTTATCAGTTTGACAGACTGCTCAACAATCTAGCGAAGGGCGCTTCCAAAAGGCACTGAAGTTCATCCCAGCCAAGGTTTATAACAAAAGTATGCACAATTGGATTAATCGTTGTTATGCTTTTAGCTGCTTAGGAGCCTATTTTGAACATTAACCTCTAAACGTTATTTTCTTGTCAATTCGGGTAAACTTTTGTATAACTAATTTTAAGGAAATAAACAAAATATCTCAGACGTTTAAACTAATAAGACCTACTTAGATTACTTTTGGAATTCCCCATTTTAAAAACGTTCGACATTTCTTTTTTAGATTATCTTATCATACAAATTGTATGCTTGGGATCTAGTACGAATTTTACAATAGAAGTAGATCTCACAGTTGCTAACAACAATAAAGTGTAAAAATGTCGATTTTTCAACCAAATAATATGAGAAGAACCATATTTTTTCAATAATCACCAAAAATGCAATAATTTCTAAATATTTTTTTTCAAAAATTTGTATAAAAAATTTGAAACTTTTTCGCAACTTCTATAGACACCTAAAATTTCAACTTTATTTGTGGAAATAGTAAATTTTTGACATGATCGCTTTTGGAAACACTTTTAGACTCGGAAAACCAAGAATGTATTGTAAGGAGCTTAATATGTGCAGCTATTTGCAATCGATTCAAAATAAATGGGTAATGGGTATTTTCAATATGAATTGAATTACAGCATCGAGTTCATACAATATTTCAACACTTTCAAATGTGGCAGATGAGCTTACATAGAAAACAGTTCCCTTTCGAAAGAATGCAAATAAAAAAGTAAAGGGAACTGTGTTTGTTGAAGCATATTTGATGCAGTTTCTTCGAGATAATTATAAAAATAATAATATTTAAGAAACAAAAAGTTTAAATATATAAGTGCCCTAAGCTCTTGAGAGTTGAACAGAAAGGGTTTAATAGGCTTATTGTAGGCATTGATATTCAAAAAAAATTATATCGAACACTCAATGGAAGAAAAAATCATCTACGAACATTATGAAAAATATGTAGAAATGTGTGGGGAAGTCAATATATGTATTATATATATATATATATATGTATTCTTGGATAACCGTCTGAGCACTTTGTAAGCAGAACATCGAATTTGTTGTACGATTTTTAGAGACCTAAAGTTCTTTTGAAAACACGATATCCATAAAATCGATAGAAGCGCTGTGTGTGGGGTTTTTGCAATAAAAAGGCTTTCATTGGTAAATACTTTCTTATGTAAAGGCTATCATAGTAGATTAAGTATAGACTATAATTTTCATTAGTTTTTTCATTTTTTACAGTGTAAATACCAGAAAATTTAATTTTCTCTATATAAGGCCTTTGCGTGTGCTAGTTATCAGCAACTGGCAATAACATTTCTTAAAAATTAATATATAATCCCTAACGATTATGCATGCTGGGATTTGCATATTTAAGTATATCTTTTCAAACGTAAGTGCATGTGTGTGTGTTAGAGCGTATTGGCATCGCAAGTGTGTGGTTTTATTAGTTTAAGTTTACTTTGTCAGGCTATTGCTTTGTTAATGCTTAAATTTAATGTAATTTACAAATAGCACATAAAAACAGCTTTGCACTTCAAAATAATATTTACTGTGCACTTAAGCATGAATATAAACTTCGAAATATAGGGTGCTTTTTGAGAGATATTGGAATTTCCTAGTGCGACAACTGTCAAATCAGTTGTCAAAGTCAACAGATATTTTTGACGTTTATATTTGTTATATTACGGAAAATTATTATCGAGACTAACGCGTTAATTGGTCATCTAGTTCATGTATGTCCGTTAAAATATTTTAGAGTTTACTCAAAAAGTCAAAATATTTGTGATTTCATGCATTTTTCTGCGTCTAATTTGTAATAATAGTTGTATGCCTCTAAAAAAACACCCTTTATACCCTTTATATAAATACATATAAAAACACTTATTTACGGCTATGCACGCATGTATCCGTGTAATTATCTATATAATGTTATATAATACGTTGTATGCACCAATTTTCCACTTACCATTCGAAGATGTCGAGAAGAGAAAGCTGTGCGTCAAGTCGCTCCAACCATAACGATTCCTGCAAATACAAATGTAATTAAAATGAAATTTAGCCATTGCTTAGCTATTTGTGTTTCGGTTGCTTGATTTCTAAAGTATTTCAAATATGTACGAAAAGACAAACAAACAAAACGAGAATTTGCAATTAATTAGAGAATGAAAATGTCACCTCGAAAATTATTAAGCACAAATGATTATTTGTGACGAACGCATCAGTGCAGTGTGTAGCATGCGGCAAGTGGCATGTGACCGAGAGGACTATACTTGCACGAACTAAGTATTAGCATATAATTTGTTTGAGGGTTTGCATATCATTCGTCTGTAATTAGTTTTTGATTTTCTTTGACCATTGTTGAACAAGTAGACGCTTGCAGCGAATACTAGTATCGAGATAACGAGAAATAAACTATTCATGAATTAAATATAAATTAATATTGTAAAACAAATAAAGTGAAATTGGAAGTAGTTCTGTGTCTTGAGGCACTACATGTTTATTTAAGGTCTTAGTTCACTTGGTCACTTGGTTATACATATATGTTATGTAAAAGCATGTTTATAAAATATGTATAAATGTAAATGTGCTTTATAATTATTTGCTTTGTATTATTTTGATCAAGGATAAACATTCAGTAGGTCAGGATTTGAAGACAAAATGCTGAATTTTTGAGCTTAAATATTTATAAACGTCGCTTTAATTCCACAAGAATTCCACAATTTTTCGAAAAGTTTATAATATAATGCGCTTTTGAAACAAGAAACAGTAAGTTTTACAATTCTTCTCCTATAAATATTTTACTGAAGTGTGTATCAATATTACGGAGATCTCAAATTGTATAACACATTGAATAAAAGTGTGGACTATTCGGATGAAAATCGGTTGACTTTATATGAAACCAGTACTTTCAAGTTTCAACTGACAAAAAAATGTAACATAACATACCGCTCAAGGTCATCAATCAATAAAGCGACTCTCTTCTGGGTTCCTACATGACATGAGAGTGCTATAAATGTAATCATGACAGGGTCAAACCAATATAATTATTTTATTCGCTCTTTTAAATCAAAAGCAGAACTTTAAAGAGTTGTACGAAAATAGTGGAAATATCATAATATGTATATGAGTTCCGGGAATAAACTTTTATTCACATATGTCACCAGTTTATTTGGTTATGGACCAAAAAATTCTACGTTACTTTAGTTAGCAAGTCTAATATAATAACTGAAAATACTGGAAAACTCTCTATGTTTGAAAATTCTTTGATTTTAAGTATAAACAAGGCAAATTATTACGTAAAATTAGTGGTATCTCAAGATTGGTGAAGACGTTCTTTATATAATAATAATTAGGCAAAAAAAAGAGTTAAAATTATGTTTCTTTTAGAATATATAATATTTATATACGTGCATCCTATTTCCATTTTTTTTTAACTAGAAAGGCGCGAATATAATAGCTTCTTTCAAGTCCTGATACACCCTGCCGGATGTTATTGCGCAAATTTAGAAAACTTTTCACCCATTTTCCTTTGTAACTAAACCTACTACAAAAAGAAAAACACAAAAATATAAAATTTGTTTGCACAATTTGTGACATCCAACTATGGAGCTATCCGCCGTAGAGACCAAACTTCGCACTCAAAGATTTATTCTTCTTTTCGCAGATCAAAAATAAATTGCGTGATTTGACGTTCTTCGACATTTGTGAAAATGCTCGATGCCTTCAAATCTCATAATTAAGCAAATTATACCTCGAAAATCTGTGTTATTATAATGTACTTCTTCCAAAATTCAGAAGTTTCCAATGTTTAATACTTTTTCTCTTCTTCATCTATTCTAAAGGATCTAACCTTTATCTTGGTATCTTTTGAAAAAAATTATGAATTTTTTTATAAAAGAAAATTAATAAATTTGCCTAGCATCTCTTTTTTAGCGCAACATTTCCGCCTGTTGCATGACAGCAAGCAGTTTCCATCTAATTCAGCGAGAAATCAATGAACTGCCCCATGGCAAGCCGAGCGAAATCTTGCACTAAATCAACGTGCTGCTACAGCGATTCCTCCAAAGTATTGCACTTAGAAGCGCGCGTTGTTTACGCCATTGTTGTCACTCTGCTTGCTACAGCTACAAAAGCAATGAAACAGCAGTGTGTGTCAGCGTTGCAAATTGTTAATGTGTCAACGCGAAATCTTGCAAAAGCTGCTGATCAAGAGCTTGAGCATTACAAAGAATCAATTTACGCCAATAAAAGGGGTGCGGGGAGAAGAAACCTTAGGCGCCGCACGTAGTTGGAGCTTATAGAGTAACAACAGTGACTGTGAAATGGCCAAAAGTGGTACTAATAATAAGGAAGCGGCTGTAAAGTGACAACAAGTCGTTGCTGGTATATTGAAAATTACAAAAACATAAGCAACAACTAAACATTGTTGTAGTCTTATACACTAGTATTGATTGCGAGATACTTGTGGAGCATAAACTTGCACAGAAGACGTAAAGCATAGAATGTAAAGACAATGCCACCGTTACACCACACCAGTGGCCATAAAGTTGTGGCACAACAAATCACTCGATATGCATGCATGCAGTATGCGACAATTCTTGGCTCAGTTTGCTTGCGTCATGCCGCCAGCTCTAAACTTACCTTGCTTGAACAGTGGCCTCGTAGTGCTGGTCCGGATCCAGTCCGCGTATCATGTAACTCATGCCCTGGGTGTAATGATGTGACAATGGCATCGCAGCAAGCACCACATCACGCCAATCGTTACGACCCCAGTGCATCACATTGCCATAGCTGCTGAGACCGGTGCCCAAACCGCTGCCAAGGCGATGATTGTGCTGGCTGCCAAGCAAGCTACCGCCCATGCTGCCACCACCGACGCCACCTCCACCGCCATACATCTGCAGCAGCGTCGAAGAGGATGAAGAGCCGGTGTGCGTATCGATGGAGTTATCGACCTCGTGTCCTTGCGGCAACCTTCGGAAGGACAGCTTATACTCTTCGATGGGTGTGTGCGAGTCCACAGTCCAAGAAATGTTGTATCTGCAAGAAAGCATTGAGAAAGACGAGACGAGATTTTAGTGGTAAGTATAAGAAAATAGAAATTGTAATGCTGTGTACGAGTATATATGTGGGTGTGTGTACATATGTGGCTGCGTCTGTATGCAAGTGTCTTACAACCACACTGCTCTACTCATTGTTGTCTGTTTAGTTGTGCAACTGAGTGAATTCAACAATTATTGTTGTTGTAGCTATCACTGTCTTTATGCACAACATAACAATCGCATTGTGGAGCTGCTGACTGAACGACCCGGCCGAGAGCGGGCATCAGCAGCAGCAGTCGGAGTTAATGAAGTACGCGCTTCTATTGGCGAAACAATAATGGCCGCCACACAAGAACGACGACAACAACCAACACAACTAAAGCATTTGACTGCAGTATCAACATGTTGACGATGATGTCGAGAAAGTCATTCTCGGCAGCGCCACAGACAGCAAAGTCAAACGCAAATTCCCGCTGGCAAATGGACGCCAAGACGCTGAACTCGAAGAAGAGCATGTCGTGAGGGAGTGCGGCGTTGTTAAAGTCAATGTTTGCATTGTTAAGAAGCTGAAGTGCGAAAACAATGACGGTTGCAGGCGGCCACATGGCAGTGCATTGACTTTGTTGCAGCAGCACGCAAAAGTGCTGCGGATAACCGAACACCGCCCACACGCACCAGCATTCAAAGGACAGCGCGTTGTACTTGCCAACTGTGTGTATGTGTTTGTCGGAGTGTGTGTGGTAGAGCAGCTGTGAGTTTCAGTTAAGCGCCTTAAGCAGCGCACTTGTACTTGTAGGGGTTAAATAAGCAATTCGACTGGAAGTTAGCTGCGTCGTTTGCTTGTTGGTAATTTGGTGCATGCATAATTCTTTACTTTTACAATCAATGCACACAAAGTTCCCGTTAGCTGATTGACCTTAGTTAGTCATGATTTAATAAGAAAGGAACACAGGATTGTAAGGAAGTGCTAAATTCGCTCGGACACGAAATTCAATAACTTCGATATTAAACAGTTCGATGGACTGACCTGCTTGCAAAGTATTTTAATTTCATTATGTCAATGCTAGCGTATCAAAAGCCATGAATCTTTTTTCCAAATCGATGTCGAGTAGAGTTCGCAAAAGAGATGCTTAAAAACGCAGCTGGAAACACTCAATTCCTCAAATGCATCACCACTGCCGAAGCGAGGTGATGTGGGTTTATGAATATGACGTCGTTACTGTGAAACAATATAGTGAATGACGCTGCAAAAATAAGCCGAAAGCGAAACTTCGGCTGTACCATAATAATACCCTTTACAAATACTAAAGATTCCTTACAAGAACTTTGATCGGTCAGTTTGTATGGCAGCTATATATAAACTGACCGATCAAAGTTATAGGTATATATTATATTCTATAGTGAGCCTATCTTAACTATTTACATTGCCTTGGGCACTAATCTGTACCAAGTATCTTGAAGATATCTCATCGAATGAAAAAGCTTTTTATACAAGCACTTTACTTCGATCGTTCACTTTGTATAAGAGCCATATGCTATAGTGGTCCGATATCGGCCGTTCCATCAAATGAGCGGCTTCTTGGTGAGAAAAGGACGGGTGCAAAATTTTAGACAGTTATCTTAAAAACTAAGAGACTAGTTAGTATATATACAGACGGACGGATAGACAGAAGGACAGACAGATGGCCATGGCTAAATCGACTTAGCTCGTCATGTTGATCATTTATATATAATTCAAGTATATACTCTATAGAGTCTCAGACGTTTCTTTTTGGGTGTTACAAATATTGTGGCAAACTCAATATACTCTGTTCAGTGTATAAAAAAAGAAAAATAGAAAAATCATAACAGGCTTGCTGTAAAAATGTATGATAGTTTCTCGAAAATACTATATCAATGTATATAGGTACATATTTATTGTTACAATTTAGTTGTTGGACAACTTATCTTTCAACTTCAGTGTCCAGAACGAAACCGTAACACTGTGAAATAATACGCTATTTCGGGCTCCAAATAAACGCACACATACATATTTATATTTTATGTTAATAAAAGTCTAAACCATTGATCCCTACCTTCCACCATCTTGAGCGAATGAACTCAATTGGATTTTATGTACATTGTCCATTGGCTTATTATCAAGTTATATTGCTGCCGCTGCATTTATTGCAACTCAAGAAATAAAACTTAATGTTACGCTGGTGTAATAACATTTTCAGAGAATTACAAAGTCTCCGACTACAAAGGATTGCGCTCGCAGCAGACCAGCGTGATAGCCACAGCGCGCAATTTGTAAGCAAAACGAAGTAAAATATGCACACAAACGAGAAAGCAATATAAAAGTGGCTATTGTCTGCAAACACTGAACTAACTTAACGATTTGCCACACGCCGGCAAACGAAGAAAACCAAGCAAATGTGAAGGAACTCATTAAAAGCGTGCGCAAGTGCGCCGAAATGCCAGACAACAGTGCGTGTGAGTGTGTTTAATACTACGCGTTTGCAGTGAAAATGCAGTTGCACTGCTTGCTTTTGTTGCGCACGCTTGCCACATTGCCACAGACAGTGACACATCATCGGCGCTCAACCGTAAACGTCAACATTAAGTGGCACAACTACACATGTTTTTTTTGTTTTTTTTTTGCGCAGCAGACTGCCTCAGCCGCTAGCAAAGTTACTTATACGCACCGGTGGTTGGCATGCGGTTGGTTGCCTCGACCACTTATTGTTGACGGCATTGTTGTCGTTGTCATTGTCGCCGTCATTGCATCATTGCCAACGTAATTTATACACTTTCGTTGTGCTTGTGCGTGAAATATGCGGTGTGCAATGAGTTTTGCAACGAATTTCAGGAAAGCTTCCTGCAGCGCTCACTTGCAAGCATTCATTAGTATAGACAATCATGGCATAAGTGGGTATGTAGTAGTTTTTATTAGTGGAAATGACTTCGAAATGTTTTAAATATATATTCTTTATTATATAAATTCGAGTCGTTTTAAATTATTTTCGACATTCGTGGTATTATACTAAGGTTTGGGCATTACTTCTGGTAAAACAAATAAATTTTTAAAAATTGTGTAAAAAGGCGGTGAGTTGGTGACAAATTGAGAAAAATAGTGTCACGAAAATATCTTTTGACCTATATCGGGGATAGGAGCTGGCGATGACCGACCGAAGACTACTTAGAGAAGGTACCTCTAGAAAATAAATTTAAAAAAATTACAGAAAATGTTTTTTTAATATCTTAAAAAACTCATTCACAGATTATTTATTTTAACAGTGGTACGAACATTTCTGAATTATTTATTTTCTAGAGTGCCAAATTGTCAAAATTTCTATCTGTATGCAAAAAGTTTGTCAGCACGTATTGTGAGAATGCCTTTAACTAAACAACTATTTTCATTTGCATGCAGAAATGTATCTATGGTGGCGTATATACATATATAAATAATTTAACCTTTGCCGTGACTTTAGTGTGCTCATATCAATGCCGCCATTGCAATATATTTTACTGTCTGTGAATTTAATTTCATTTTATTTTATTTGCCTGACAATTCTTAATAATAATTTTTATTGCTGCTTGCTTAGTGCTTGAGAACTCTTTTACTGGCACACTTTTTTTATATTTGCACGTGTGAATGTGGCAACTTGTAATTGCCTGCTGCGGAAGCATTGAGTAGTTCGTGGTATATGTAGCACAGAGAAATAAATAAAAGTTTCAGTCGGCAAAGCGACAAGTTCATATTACTCCGGTTCTGACACGATTACAGAACTTAAAGTTTGAGTTGGTATTTATATATGAAACTATTTTTTTATATCTACGTATGTATGTGGAAATATAACGGTACAAAACGTTACCCTGTTAGCGAAAATTGTTTTCAATGAATAAATTTTAAATTATATTTTTTAAAGCAAATTTGGCCATAATCACAAATTAATTTTAATAATAAGTCTTGAAAGAAATGATGACTCAATTTGTGGCCTTCGATAATAGCAATAATCAATCGAACTACAGAAATCAGGTACTTTATCTAGCTAAAATCGACTCTACTTCTAAAAGACTTCAACAAAAAACTTCAACCCGACTATTTACTGTCGTGTTTACATATACCTTAAACCTATATTTTAGTTTACTATATGCATACAACATCACCCTTTTTCCACCACACTGTAGTAGTGCTACCTTCAACTACTTATGTATTATACGAGTATATAAATAAACAGCTACAACATTTTTGCTTCGTTTAGTGAGTGTGCTTGTTGGTGCGTGCCGTATTAGTAACTTTTAATTTGAAGTATCCTTTGCACAAACGTTTATCTCTGCTTTGTATATTGACACTGACTCATTAATTAGCATATGTTTACTACGCTCTCTTCCGCCATATATATTTTCGTACATTATTTTGCCGTTTATTGCCAGAAAACTTATTGCGTAAACATTCTAATATTACACAGATTCTCTGCTTGTCTCCTCTGCGTACTCACATAAATTAGTAACAGAATTTTCGCAGTAATTGGCTAAGCATAGATAAAGCTAAATGAGTCTCATGAATAGTAATGATTTTTAGTAAAATCAGTTTATTGCCCTAATAAAAGTGAAATGCTTCGGAAACTTACTGGGCAAATAGTTGCGAAATCATTGCTGACATGCGATAGTGCTAAAATTATATTTGAAAAATAAAATTTATTTTATAAATTGTGGAAATAATATTTGGGATTTTGTATAAATAGAGTCTTACATTAATTTGTAGGCAAAAAAGCTATTTCAATCCGAACAATTCAGAAACATATTTAATCGCTTAATTAATAGTGACAGAATATGTTAGCTCTTTATCAGCTCTTTTTATTAGTAGTTTCATTTTATTACAATATGCGAAGTGCAATACAAGTATAATAATTTACAACTTATCTTTTTAATTGCAGTACAATTTTTAAGACTTCTTGAAATCCGCCGTTTGTGAAAACTTGTTTGTTGCAATAAAAAGCAACAAAGCAATACATTAGTAGAAAGCTTTCAAAGTGAGCTTTGCTTTCGTGGAAAACCATTTGGGTTGGATTTAAAATTTTCGAACCTCTGAATTAGCTGGAATTTGCATTTTATGGAGCTATTTTTAGAGTACTATTTCAATGGAAAACTGCACACTTGTACAAATAAAGGATTTTCCTACAGATTATTTTTAATTGGAAGCAACAACTAACAAGCGCATAAGCTTATTAAAGGAAGTTCATAAATATACCGGTTTTTAATACTCTTCAAAGAATACATTAAACCTTATTAAAGTAGTTGGCCACTAGTTTTTTCAAGCAGCCTTAACTTCTGGGTAAAAATTGGCAGATTATTTCGAATAACTGTATGTGAAATTTTGAAGTTGCTCCCCACGTAATAATATAAAGGAAAATTTTCATTGGCCATATGAGATAATTTTTTATAAATTTCAAAAATATTGACGGTTGTCATATTGATAGATCTTCAAATGCGGTAACGAGAAGCTGATAATTCTTATACGGAACATTAGCCGATTTGATATAAAGTGAGCCCTTAGACTCGCTATGTACTGAACTACTATACCATTGGTTTTTACAAAAATTAGATTTCATTGTTATCGCAAGAGACGCACTTATTCTAGTGATCTTACAACAATTCCACTACTCTTTGACTGCTTTTGAAATGAGCATTTCTTCGAGGTCACAGTATCTGGAAAATATGTTGCTAACGGCAGACATTCGAAGCAATTTAATAAACAGTTTTTTTTTGTTAGGTTACGCGGTGCATTCATGCACAGCAAGCAAGATTTACAAAGGACCTTCCTTGAAAGTCAGGCGTCACTCTGAAAGAGTCTCCTATCAAAACATGCTTTCTAGACTGCCGAGAAACTGCTAACACGGTAAGATGTTTTGAAGATATTTTTTCAATTTTGTGAGACGGATACGAGACATTCTCATGAAAATCGAGAGTACTAAAAATATCAAAAGTTAGATGCTTGTTAGATTAATAAATATATAGATTCTATACGAGTATACGCACTATATACGTTTCTAAACTGAAATCGAGGTTTATTTTTACTTTAAGGATATAATAGTTTCCTCAAATGTTGGAAGTAATTAAAGAATTGCAGAAAATAAAATTCTATACAAAAAATGGTTGAATTCCACAATCAAAAGTGCGAGTGGAGCAAGTCTTAACTAAAGTTTCACAAGAAAACACTGTCTTACTCAGCTTCCCTGTATTAAAATCATACAATCGGAGCATATGTTCCATATATACATATATTTAAGTAGTTACGAGTATATGTAAGTATGTATGTATGTAAGGGATTTAATGCCAGATGGTACTTTTAACTCAAAACTTTTGTGGCAGCATTCTTTCTTACCACTTCCACTTTACCGTCGTAATGAGTACGTGAACAGTTTTATTACGTTATTTCCCGCATGTACACACATAAGCGCGCATACATGAAGAGACTGCGGAGTGAATGAACGGAGATAACGCAAATGCGCTTAAATATGCGAGTATAAAGCAGCGCAGATATATTTGGATACAAACTGTTGAGTATATACGTACACACTTATATCTGTATGCATATATGCATGTGTATGTTTGTGTTTGTGATTGTGTTTATGACCCACTTACCTGTCCTTATACTGACTGATTGGCGGCGAATTGAAGACGGCAATATTTGGTTTCCCGCTCAGTTGCAAAGTTTTCCGTGCTTTACCCAGTTGATTCTCGGCCACACAAGAATAATTAGCAAAGTCCTGAGGATGTACTTTCCGAATAATCAGCGTGTGACGTGAGCCGCGATTCTCCATGATGTGACGTTCGGTGGTGTCCAGTTGCATGGTGTCCTTGAACCAAAGCACCTGCAAGCGCGTAAGCGATATCGACAGCATTTGGGCGGCAGTGTGGCATGTGGCATGCGAAATGTGGCATGTAGATGAGTTTTTCGCGAATAATTTAAGGGGTTAGTGGATATTTTGATTAAAAGAATGTTAAACAGAGCGGAAATTATATTTCAAGGGAGTGAATTGGATGCGAATATTTCGAAGATAGAGTGCGTTAAAAAGAGAGGAGTGTAACGGTGTTTCAAAATTAAGTAATGAATGGGTAGCAAAAGCAAATGGAAATGCGATAGCAAGTTTGATGATTAACGCGACATTTAAAGTGACGGTCATTGTGTTGGTTTGCATATTTGTAGATTTGTATAGGTGAGTGTGTCAGTAAATGTGTGAGCGCCACAATATAAAGGTGTTAAGCAGATAAACGCAGGAGAGAAAACAATAACCATACGTGGAAGTTTAAGCGACAGATTTGTTAGTGGTATGCGGTGAGAGAGGTGAGCGGGAGCGGTGCGATAGGCACGTGGTAACCAAACGAATATTGTTTATGTGAGCGTGTGTGTTTTTTGTATTCACAGGAAAAAGGGAGTAATCAAATTATGGCGTTTTCGCCGAAGTATATAAAGCCAACGACAGCGCGGAGAGCGTGAAAGATACACAATAAGCGTAACGGCGAGCAGTTGAAGAAGAGCCGGTAAATATGACAATCGCCAAGCAACCGCAAACATGGCGGCGAAGGCATATCGTGTGTCGGGTGTGAGTGTCCACAAACACATATGCCGGGTGTCAAAAGTGGCCGGAGTTCAACAAACAAACACCAAAAGAGAGCAGCGCACGATGAACGGTGGCGCGGATTAACGGTAACCGTAAATAAGCACATCGCATTGAGGCGCATCACGTACGCGGCCGTCAAGTGAACATCAACGACAATCATCGGCGCGCATGAGTGTGAGGCGCATAGCGGAAAACATGTGGAACACAGCCGGAAGTTAGCGCACACACCCGCAGCCATATACACACCGCGGCGATATAAACATGCGGATAGAAGCGTGCAGATTGGCGCACGGATGATGGACGCAAGCAAGTGCGGATAGACAAGTGAACACACAAAGACGTGCGGGCGGGCAGACAGACAGACATGCAGACGGTGCCCGCAGTTGCGGCGGGATTATGAAAACAGCAGGTGTGCAAAATGTGGGACAAATAATTGGGCGGCGCGCGGCAGCAGATGGCGACGGCAAATGTGGCAGATAAGCGTTGGCAGCCAACAGCGCATATATGGTTAAAGGATAAATAAACAGAAAAGGAAAAATTATATAAAAATGAAGCACAAAAAATATTAAAAACAAAAAACAAGAAAAACGAATACAGCGGTAGGCGTAAAAATATGTATGTCAGGCGGAAAAAATTTAATAATTTCGTTGTTGTGTGACAAATATGCGGACAAAGTGGCGGCAGCGTGTCAGTACGTGAGATGTTCATATTTGTTGTACGTATGGTTTTTGTTGTCATAGTCCCAGCAGCGTGAGCACGTCGTGGCAGGCACGCATACGTTCAAGACGTTATGATAGCAGATATGCGCACAAGGGTTCAAATTCCATTAAAATGCTTGTCAGTGTATGTGTCCATGCGCGCACACATACATATGCGTGTCGGTGTGCATGCCCGTCAGTGCACATAGCACACATTTTTGGCATCGCCCATCAGTATTTTATTTTATTTTACCCCCGTTGTAGTTGTTATTGTTGACATTGTTATGATGTTTATTTCATTTGCCGACGCGCAGGTGTGCCGCCAACAAAAGCAACAACAGCGCGACGTGAATGAAAAGCATAGCCAAATGTGACACAATCCCGGCGAGATTTGCATGTGTGCAGGATGTGCCGCGTCGGCGGGCGACAGCGGTGGCCAGGTGGGCAAAAATCCAATGTGATGTGAAACACATACACGTGCAGAGCCATGTGGCGTAACCACATGTTCGCATAGGCGAGATAAACACGTTTGTTGAACGTTTTCAAGCAGTCAGTCCATTCATTCAAGCCATAAATTCACAAGTATGTTGCAAGTGCATGTGTGTGTGTGTGCGTGTTTGTTTTATTAGCGGCAAAAGTGAGCGAGTTGAAGTGTTGCGTTGATTTTGATGAAATTATTTTATGCCAAAAATATACAGTTATTGTTTACATTGCCAGCCAGCCAGCCAGCCAGCCGGTGTTGGAGTTTGCCGTTGTTGTTTTAATGGGTTTGTTGTTTAGACCCAGGCGAGCGTTGACATGTTGATAAACGTTGTGGGCGTAATAAAAAAGCGCGTGGCATGTAAATTTTCAAATAACGGTATTTTTCCGTTTTTTATTTTTCAAATATGACATTTCGGTAGTTGGATTTTGTTGTAATAGCAGCATGCAGCGGCAATAGTTGTTGTCAGTTGGATTGATTTATATGGTGAAGTTGTCATGAAAAGAGAGCAAAAATTAGAGCAGAAAAGAGAGAAACGAAACAAATTTGGTTTTAGTTAGTAAATATTTACAGGCAAAGTACGCAATATTTTTAGGTTATATGTGTATGTTATTTACTTATTTATACAAACAATATATATAGAAGTCATAAATACGCTACTATTTACTTGGCGCATTTATATATTTATTTATACACGGATATTTGCAATGACCGCTCTAGTTTATTTATTTATCAGCAATTCGTTTGTAATTGCGAGAAATTCATTGTGGCGTACTTTAATTTTAAAGCGCAGCTACAATTCCTTTAATATTTGAACACATAACTCTTGAGAATATTTATTTCGATTTCTAGTCGTTCTAAAGACACAAAGCATGACAACCTAAATGACTCAATCGTATTTACATATTCCAAAAATAATTGCTAACGCAACTACACTATCCGTAAATTCAGTATTAGATTGTGTTGAACCTTTTGCTTCACAAAACTTCTTATTATAAACACGACTAATTAGACCAGTTGTGTGTTAGAATCGAGAAAAAAGATATAAAATCAAAATATTGTATATTTTCAATATATGAGAAATAATTATCTCTCTTAGAGAGCGCCAATCAGTACAGGAGTATATAACTGCACGTGGGTGACTCTAAGATAATCCGAAAATATATGTTATGGTTATATTTAGAATAGATCATCAAGCTCCTGATTAAAAGTGCACTGTGTCTGAGTTCAAAAAGTGATTCTAAGAGTAAACGAAGAAATGTGTGGAAAAGATATTCTAGAAAATACTTTTTAAAGTAAGTAAGTTCCTTGAAACATTCGAAAAAAATATTTCAAAATCCATATCAAAAGCGAAGTATATTGTCGTAAATGAAATGAAGATGGCTGCTTTCGATATCAACCTGTCGTCACCGTATAAAGACAGAAGTGTGGCTCTAAAGCTTAGCACTCACACTCTGTTACCTGAGAAAACACTAAAGGCATTCACATTAGGAGCTAGAGGGAAAGTGGAGAGAAAATGTTACAAATTTATGTAATTAATTCCCGAAGAAATGCTCAAGTCAATAAAGTTGTTTTGTAAAGCATTCAACTAATTCATTGACATAAAGTTGTGCTCATTAGTGTGTTGATTGCGAATTTCGAAGGTTTCGCAGAATCGAAACAATCAAGTCGATATCAAGAGAAAATCATTTAGGCGTTACATGCCACTTAAACTTTGCTGCTGAGATTGATTTCCTATGCCACAACCGCTTAAAATTCAAAAAGACGATAGAACGCTTACATATATACACAGATATATTGTAGAGGTATATATAACATATACATGTTGTTGCTGTTGCACGCTGAATTTTTTCTACTACCGAATTCATCAATTACTGCCACTTCTAATCAATCTTTCACACTTGCTTAATTTTTCACATTTCGTGCCAACCTTTGCATTCGTCGTCTTTTCTTTATTTCAGCTCATTTGAAGAAGAGGTGGGGGTTAGCGATGTGTGTGTGTGCGTGTTACGATGAATGCCTGCGTGCTTGCAAGTCGTAAGTGATTGGTGTGTAAGCGGTATTGCTTAGAAGTGCTTTTCATCGTCTCCAACCACAATCCGTTGCGGTGATGACACAGCCGCAATTGCTCAGCTCAGCACCGCTGAGCATGAGCCGCTCATCAACGCCAATGGCAAAGCGAATGTCTTCATCTATGACACGGCATGACAGATAGCAACTAGCGACCAGCGACTAGTAGCCATATCGTTTGCATCAACTTCAAAAAAACTTTGCGAAAAGGCTTTCTGAGTGTGCGTGAGTGTTGGTAAGTGTGTGTTGAGGTCTTTTGTAAGTGGTACGTGCGTTTTGTTGCCGAGACTTGGTACACAATGACGCTGTCGGCAGCGGGTGAGTGGGCGAGTTGACTGTAGCAACAAAAACTCTTAGCTTGAAAGCACATCTTAGCACACATGCACATGCACACTCAGACACGCAGAGGTAGAAAGTTGAAGACGAAAGAGCAGAACAGCGGCGCAGAAGAGTGGCGCAAGAAAATTAGTATTGATGAGCAGCAAAGCGAAAAATACCAATCAGCACTAATCAGCAAATAAGAGACATAAAAACGAGTGAGTGTGAAAAAGCAGTTGGTAATAACAAAACACACAGACACACACATATACGCACACAAATTTTGAGTTAGAAGTGTGAGCTCAGGTTGAAAGAAAAAAGTTGTGCTTTGTCGAAAAAGTTATTGTTGGCTGGCGAAGCAGAAAAACTTGAGAGAACACATACATATCTGCAAACACACCACGCAAACACATACGCACACACGAACGCATATACATATATATGTATGTTTGCACGAAAAGTTTAGCGCGCACACATTTTAGAGTTAGTGCGCGCGAAATGAAACGCTTGAAAAAAATATTGGAACAACAACAACAACAATACAGGAAGAAACATGAACAAGCATAATCATAAAGTTGTGACAACAAACAAATTGCTAGCTGCGGTGCTGAGGTGCTGAGTAGCGGAAAGTGCACCGAAGTGGCACGTCTGAAGTGTGAAATGCATAAATGAGTGGGAAAATT